AAGCGGTGAAAACGCTGTTGTTAGAACTCAAGTTGTAATTATAAAACTATTAACATTTTGTGTGTTATCTCCTACTCAACTACAAGATGTCTAGGGCACAGAGATTACTTTTTAGATGGCTTATAGCAATAATTATCCATGTCTGTCCTGTCGTAGCTAATATTTCGAGAGAAAGTCATTCGATACTTCCAGATTGAAAGGTAACTCTTTTTCTTGATCTATCCTGTGATACTGTGTTTTTCTCGTGATCATATGGAGAAAAGTTTCTTGTATTCTTCCAGCAGTTCTCAGTAGACTTGGCTATTTTGGCAAGAAACATTTTTTCAAAGGGACCATCTTCGTCACACTCAAATTGCTGGTTATGAAGATAGTGTAGCAATCGTTATTATTCATTTTGCTAATCCTATCATTTTGCTAAAAATGCAAAACTAAATTTTGATCCCATTGCTATCATTATTGCATTCAATGATATTTTTACTAATTGTCCCTCTTGCACCAATTATTTATTTTGAACAGATATTTTTGGCACTGTATCATTATGCAAAATGATAGCGCCTGAATGCTTTACTTTTTCCAGGATTAGGCCCATTGTCACAAGGGAGACTACTTGTGGAAGGAAGAAATCAGATTTGGCCAAAAATGATGACATACTACTTCTAAGCAGCCTGAACAATGATGTTTGTTCCTGTTTAAAGATACAGTTAAATCTCAAATGACTATTACTGTAATATAATTTAATGCACTTGTTCTGTTTCATTTTTTCTCATTTACCACAGTGTTTCACAAACATTTTGAGAAGCCTGGAGAAGAGAAGGCTATACCTCAGAGTATAAATAGTTTCCTGAAGACATGACATTCATTACTTTTTAACTGTTAGACAAACAGTTTTGTATGTAATTGTTCTCACTTCTGCTTGCTCTAGTATGATTTTGAGTATTGTCTGGTATATATAACCCCAAGGCAATTCCAGATGAGACATTGAAAAATTTTTTTCTTGGAAAGAAATTGCCCAGTTTTTGAAATCAATCCACTATCAAGTAGAGTTAGTACTGTTCTTGTTTATGCATTTGTTCATTTCAAGATGTTTGGCCATTAATTCTTCTGAGATTAATCAAGTGGTAAATCAATTAACACCAGTGACATCTTGTCTGGATCTGTGGCCTACATGGCTAGCAAACAACTGTTTACTCATTTAGGTTCCAATTTTGACATATTTTAAAAATATTTGACCAGTTCTGTGATTTTTCCAGATGCTTTAGAACTGGCTGCTTGACTGTCTTGTATAAAAAACAAAACAAAAAAAAAAACTCTTTTTTTTCCAAATGAACTGCTATTTTGACTTCTTTCCAGCTCTTTTTTTATTTTTATTTTTGCTAAAGTTTCTGAAAAAAATTATGGGCAAACAATTGCAGACCTATTTTGTTTCAAATGAGGTGTCTACTGTAGAGAGGAAATTTCAGTCTGGCAATAGCTCAATTTTTAGTATAGTGAAGGTCTGATGGCAGGCTCCAGAAATTGCTTTGAATATTTTTCTTATGCTATTAAATCTCTGCGATATAAATATGCCCAAACTATCATTCCTTAAGAAGAAAACATAAACAGAATATATATCATGACTTCTGCAGTAAGCAGACAGATGTGGAGATTGTGTGAGAGGAAGACTGATTTAACTATATACCTTTTTCTGTCCTGGAAATCAGACCTTTGATCAAACGTTTTCTGCTCCAGAAATTCTTGCATTATTTCTCATGATCAGATAAGGATAGTAGATAAAACAGCAATTGTTTCCTTTTTCAAGATCTGCCGTGGATTTTGTTTGTAAAAGTAAACTGTGATTTTGATACATAATCTCATTTTATGCCTGAGTGACTAATTCCAGCTTATGACAGTTTAGCATTATCAAGTGGAGGCTACTTTATCCTCCATTCCTCTTTAAATAATCAGTTGAATGTGCCCTATCTTGAATCGCTCCTTTTAAAGTTGAGAGGAGTATTGTAGTACCTTATTTTTCACAGGAGCTTGGACAGCTTACTTTATGGAATAACAGATTGTTTAGATTCCAGATTATAAAGAATGCAGCTCTTGGGATTCCTACAGGTCTTCTGGAAGGCCTGAAACATGTTTTTCTAAGACTTTACAGAGACTCCCAATGAAATTCCTGAGCTGGTATAAAATGTTATTGATTTTTTTTTCTTGAAGCATGTTACGTGACTATCCAAGCATACCCTATCTTACAAGCCCTTAATGTTCATTACATTCCATGACATTTCCCTTTTTTGCAGTTGTTTATACCAGCTCATCTGGATAAACAGTTACTGTCATTGTAGTCCAAAATGTCTCGTATGAGAGATTTCACCTTAAAGAAAAAAAAAAACCTTTATCTAGGAGCATATTAAGGTTTTAATAAATGTTCAGAGCCAGTAGGCATCAGCTCTCTCAGCTCTCCTTAAATAATAATTTAAACATGAGAGTACCCTCAAACTTTGGATACATAGACAGAGGATAAATTACATGTTACAAAGTGATACAGCTAAGAAGAAATTACAAAAAAATCTATATGCAATAAATAAGAGATTCACTTAAAAATCATTATCCTTCTTCAGATTATTCCAGCTCTGCTTCTGGTGATGTCCCAGCTGTAGCTAGAAAGGTGCTAGTTTACATCAGCATAGCATGGACCCTACCCCCGGGGTAATGTTCTGTAAAGGAAAGGATGTTTTCAGGAGTAAAATGGTACTACTGCAATGGAAGCAAGAAAAATGTGTGTAGCAAAATAGTTTGGTACCATACTCTGGATTGTCCTGTACAACCTAGTTGCATAAAAGAAGCCTGATATTTTTAGGCAACTCTATTTGATTTCCAGGTTATGGATTATGTGGCTATTGAAAAGTAAAATGCATAAAAATCAGTTGTATGAGTGAATGTCCTCTATGTTCCAAGTTTTTCTCCAGTATATAGAATTTTGGATCATAGTTCTAAAACGTAATTGGTTTTCATTTGCTGTAGTTCCACACAGAAAGGTAAACTCCTTTTGGCTAATACCCATCAATATATGTCTATAAGTGCACTGAGGATAAGAAAGAAGCAAGTTTTTGTAGGAACAGGTTGGTTGCAGGTTTGCAGTAACTTCTGTGTCCTACTGTCTTCTCCTGAAGTTCCAGTTTGTGAAAGGTAAAATGTATCATCTAAAAACCTGAATTTATGCAGCTTGGCAGAAAGAGAGGTACTCACTTCTTTATACTATCACATGTATTCACTGATTTTTTTCCCACTAGCTTGATTTCAGCTCACAGGAGAAGTAAGATTCTACTTCCATAGTTATGCACCATACAGCACTGATTACTCAAGTATTTCCAAAAAGGCATGCTTTTGAGAAAACAGATTCTGGAAGACGTAAAACACTGGCAAGGCAGAGAGGCAACCCACACAACATGCAGCTGTGCACATCCAACAGAGAAATGAGTGAGATTTTTCTATATCTTCCACTGACAGGAGGGCGTGTTGAAGTATCAGCTATTTCTGGAAGTTTCTTGTTGCCCCATGTTTGCTTCCTAAAGACATTTCACATTGGAATTTCTAGTAACCAGACCATGTGTCAGCGTAACAGTGTAGAGTCACTCTATGTGATGGCGATGTCCCTCTCGCCCCAGAAAGTGACCCGCTCAAATCATTCATGGGTTGGCCTTCCCCACACTCCTGCGGCAGTTTACACCTGCGAGTGGAGGCTGGAGAAACTGAGGAGGGTGATGTGGTAGGAGGCCTGAGTGGCAGGGCCTGAGTATGCATCATTGTGCCCTAAGCACGAGCACCTGGAAAAAGTCGCCTGTTTGCCAGCCGAAGTGACTTCATGTTCTGCGTGACACAGAGCATGTGCTCAGAATTTGAACCAGGTTTTCCAAGGTTTTCAGTGACTCCCCAGCGCTGGGCAGTGTAGGCAACCAACGCTGAGCCTGATAAACTTCATTCTGGTCTGTCTTCATCATTACAAATGAACAGAGTTGTGCTGTTGAGGCCGGTAGGGGCCGATAACAATACTCGGAGCCTGATACTGAGTGACTGGTGGTGTGAACTGCAGTCCTTATTTCCTCACTGTTATTTAGTCGCCCATATCAGTCCCTCCACTAACTGAGTTTTTAAATGGAATGCTATTCCTCTTCTTACAGATGACAGAAAAACTGAGGAAGGAGAAGGTAGAGAGACCCCTATTATGGTCGTGCTCCTTTAAATGGTCTTTTAAGAAAATAAATTCTCCTTAGGCTGTATGACTGCGGATCCAAGAGCAACAAGAAAACTACACTCCCTACAGATTTTCTCTATTACTGCAAGATAAATGGGTAATAATTTCATAGTGAGAATGCAAACAACGTCCTCTTTCACTATCCCAGCGGACAGGTTATTAGGACTCCATTAAAGTAACCTACCTCTGTGCTATCAAACACTTGCTGCGTAACTATTCAAATTTTGTGTTGGCAGTTTGGGCTTCTTAAAAAATACCAGTGGAACCACAGTGAATTCCAAGGCCCACGGTAATAGACAAGTGAATAACAACAGAGACATATGAAATAGGAGTTAAAACTCTAAAGAAATTGCCAGCTTGTGGGTGTAGTTACTAAGATTTAGTAAAGCTTTTCAGTGAGCCATCATTTTGCTTTCTTTTCCCTTTGGTCAAGGTAGGTAAGCAGGTGCAGTGGTTGATAGTCATACGAATTGCCTCTGGGTGCAATGTACTCCTTTATCTTCCCTTGCTTAGCAAAGCGTTAAAAGTTTCATACAGTGGAATACTGCTTATCTATCTTTATAATCTGCTTAAAGGAAAACCTCAGAGCTGTATACAGTAAATCTGTAAAATTAGGACATTATTTTGAGTGGAGCAAAGGAGAACAGGGAAGGGAAATTAGGATTGTTTTGATTTGGATATTTTTTAGCCTACATGACCTTTTATCCCTCCCTTCTTACAAAGTATGTCTGATTTGTTACTTTGTCTTTCTCCTTTTCCATAGTCCATTTCTGACCTGGAGAGACATACAGCATATTATTGTAAGGACTTCACGTGCGGGACATCTGAATGCTAACGACTGGAAAACCAATGCAGCTGGTTATAAGGGTGAGCTTCGTTTCTTTTTTTGCCATCAGAAGCAAAATTATTTTTGTCATTTTTGAGGAGAAAATAATCTCAAGTAGTTTATTTGACCCTATATTGTGCTTAGCTTTTGAGTCTTTCAGTAATAAAAGGGGCCTGTCCTCTCTTTAATACAGAAAAGCTCTTAAATAACTAAAACCAAAAATGGCAGCTACCAAATGTACAGGCCAGATCTTGGTAGTCCCTACTCGCTGCACTGCTGGCAGAAGACTAAGTAAATCAAATGTTTTTAAATTTTTTCTTGCATAGCTAGCATACTAATAGAATAGCCTAGAGTTGAAGCTGTAGCAGTTACTGGATTCAGCCTATGTTCTCGTTTAGGATTCTTGACGATTTTCATTTAAAATGACAAAACAATGTGTTCAAATTTCTGCTTTATATGACTCTCCCTACGTATTTTAATATATCAGATTGCTCTATGATTTAGGACCAAAAAAAATGTTGAGTTTTCAGGATTTTAATGCGGAAATCATATTCTTCAATCAACAGTAATACAGGTTTCTAAAATTACTTCACTAGGCTGTATCTTTTGTAAGGTAAGTAGAAGTAAACAATCGTACCAGTAGATAACACACATATTCAAGATGGGTGAAACTGAACCTTGAATTCATACAATGTTGTATTTCAGCAGAGGTTGGCTTCTGATTCCCATTCACTAAACTCTTACTGCCTTCAGTCTGGATTGCATATAAAAAAATGGAGAATGACTTATTTCTGGTTCTCTTTTCATGAGATTTCTGCCTAAGACTGCAGTACTGTTTTAAGATCAGCATAAATATTGATTTGAACTCTTTTGTGCTAGGATCTCTTGAGAGCAGAATATAACATGTAAGAACCATCAAATCTTTTGCCTGGTTTCACTTTAAAACTGAAACCTAGCTTTAATCTATTCCAGATCAAGGCACTGCTACCACAGAGCATCTTTAATATATCATTCTGACCTATGACATTTCTGTTGCAACTGAATAGAAACCAAACAAAAAAACCTTTCATTTTTGGATCCAAACCAGACCCTAACTACAGAGGATAGATTTAGAAATGGGTATTTAACTCTAAACCCCTCACCATGTGAAGGTTTTAACATTCAAGAGCCTGCTTTTGTCTCATTTACAAAAAGTGCATGCCCACATGCAAAAATACATAGAGTAAGAAACAGATACTTCCTTAATTATGGTAACATTACAGTATTTGTTATTATGAAAGATACCCCAGGATTTAAAAAGTTTTGGCAGGAGATTGTGATTATATTATCATTTTATTGGAGTTATCTGAAATTCAAACAATAGCTTCAAGTAGCATGAAACAGAGTTGGGGGGGGGAGGTTCCCCAGCTCAGTGTCAAAATTCTATCTTTTTGTGTTTTTCCACTTGTTCCCAAGAGAGGCAAACACCCTGTGATGCATTTCATAGCAGCTGTCACTCATTGGCAGAGGAGAAGTCACACTAATACCCCAGCAGTAGCAGCACTGGCAGCAGGGCTTGCACTGTTTCGCCACTGCAGCTAGCTTAATCTGAATCCTGGGAGCCACACGTTTTAATATTTGTTGTAGCAGATAGGTAGCAAGGAAGAGGAATAAAAAGGCTTCTCCTCCACTTGTGCAAAATCATGAGCATAGATAAGCTTAACTGGGGGACTGGGAGTCAGAAAACTCAACCTGGCAGAGCTCTGCTGTAGACTCCATGATGGAGAGAAAAAGAGGAAGACAAACTAAGTGCCTCGACCTCTCTGCAGCTCAGGAATCAACTTTAACCCAAATAAAAGCACTAGTTTTAACTAAATTATTTTGGCAACTTAGGCTGAGCAAATGGTTCCAATAAAAATCCAGCTCTCTTTAAACCTCTGTTGATTTTGGAAGAAGGAAAAGCAAAAGTTTTAGATTAAATCACAACATTCAAACCTGAACTCAAAAGGGGGTTTGCGCACCGCTGCTGGCAAAACTGAAACAGTATTTTACTATTGCACGTGGCAATATTTAGTATAATGTTACACTATTATCCTTCATTGTTGCCAAGAGTAACAATTAAAGTACAGTTTTTCATAGATGAATTACTCTGATCACACTGAGTTCCTTAAGGAATTGTATCATAATTTTCTTGATGGCAAGATCCATATTTCTTCCAAGGCATGTCCTTAACAAGGGAAGAGGGGGGGAAGATTGTCTTTAAAATTAACCAAAGCAAAGAGAGTCACAAGAAACAATCTCCCTTTCTCCTGTGCATGCTTGGGAAGGAAGAACAAAATGAGTAGAGAGAGAGAGACAAGCTTGCTCCTTTAGAAATGAGAGCTGAAAGGGTGAAAACAACAAAAACTTGGAAGAACCTCTCACTCCACAAAGGGTCAGCAAAGGCTGGTAGTTGAAAGTGGGTCAGCGTGCCTTTTCAGTGGGTTGTTTTGCTGGGCTGCATGGCAACACCGAGCCTCACTATAGTCACTCGCAGCATCTCTCCCTTGCAGAACACACACAGAGGGAGTTCACACATGTCGTTATTGGTCACAAAATCTCCATCTTTTCTGTCTTGCATTAGTAAAAAGAAAGATTAATTCATGAAAAGCACTTGAGCTAGCCAGTGATTTGCCAAAGCAAAAGCAGTTTATTTGTTTCATTTTCTGGCAGGTAAGCAGCATTCATTAAATGCCTGTCAACAGAATAAGGGCAACAGAATAATGGGCAAGAGTTTTTTCTTGTTGATTTTTTTAGTTATTGTTTTATTGTCAGCCAGCAGGCATCTTTACACAGGAGCTTATTACCTGGTACTCTCAAAAAGCCTTGAATACTCGTTTTTTGGTCTAGTCAGTTGTCAAGGTCTAGTCAGCTTAGTCAAGAGATACGTTATGCTGCACTTCAAAATCACAGGTTTTTTACAATTACAGCAGTTAATGAACCAATAATATGAAGAAAAACTGGAGAACATCTCTCCTCTTTTTATGAAGATACCCAAACTGTTGCTCTCTTTCTGCCATGGCAGATTGTTATGCAACGGCTCCTTGTTCTGCCAATTGTTTGGTCAACAATAGAGCTTGCCCCTGCATTCATAAACAGCCTTCATGTCCACTAGTTTCTAAGCTGAAAGAAACTAAATGAAACACTGCAGTTTTAAGAGCAATGATCAGGTCATATGCACCACTCTTTGTATGTAACTGAAGATCCACACACTGTCAAGGAAAGTCCTCTGGGGAAGCAGACCTTTTGGAGGGAGGGATACCATTAATTTGTTTTTAGATTTTAGAGAATATCCTTCGCTCTTCCTGGCTCCAAAATTTTGATAATAACACCTAATACAGTGAAATAAGATATCAGTGAAAGATAAAGAGAAATCAAAACTAGCTGCTTTTTTCCATTTCAGGCCATTTCTAGGCCCAGTGGAGATATTCTTCCTACAGAAGCTGAGAGTTAGGTGGTTTGCAAGGGAATAAAAGACTAACAAAGCTAAATATCATCCATTTAGATTAGACAAAGTATCACCGTTGGCTGCATTAGAAGAGATGTTTTAATGTTTTATTTTAACCTTAATGTTTTATAGCCTTTGAATATAATTGTTTAATCAAAGTGTTTAATAAAACTGGTGATTATTCTTGTTGTAAGCAGAGCATTTCTAATTCTGGGAATGATGAAGAGATGGGAATATCTCTGTTCCTATGATTGGTGAGATTTAAGTTGCCATAAGGCAACCGGTAGCCAGGCACAAGTTCAGAGAGTAATGTGAGAATCTGCACAACCGCATGTACCTTTCAGAGAAGATAAATAAGCTACTTCCTATGCATGTTTTAAGGATGATTTTAAATATTGTTTTGAAATCATTGTTAGAAGCTGGTGTAAGACTCCTGAAAGCAGTAAACACTCTAGGAACTGAAATGTCAACCAGAGCTGTACATATATCAAAACACCTTTCAAATTCCAGTCTTAGGGATTTCAGGTGATCTATGCTCGTGGCACTAAGAGCTAATACCAAGTCCTACCCACCCCTGCAGTCCACAGACATGGTGCATGGAGCAAGTGAAATGTTGACTTTGAGTCTCGCTGTTATAAGAACCCTTTATGGGGAGCTGGTTACCCGACACTAGTCACATGAAATTGCATTGGTCTTACTTTGTTAGAGGGAGCAAACCATATCCTGTGCTGGCTAGACTCATGATTTTTTGTGATTGAAAAATGAAATGAAGCTGGTATTTTCTGAATACTGTCAGTAAGCGTCTTCCAGGTTCAACCTGTTGAGAAACATGAGCAAATACAAAGTATCTCATGGGGGACTTGTTTCTTTTACTCTCTCCCTGCTCTGTTGGCTGCAGACAGTGTTTCCTTGCCTGGAGTATGCCTAGTGCATACATTAAGCCTCAGGAACTGCAGGAATTCCACTGCGGGAATTACGTTTATCAAGAAACAAGTGTATAACATGGCATTTCCAAATGTGAGCCACACAAACCAGAACCTTGAGTGGGCAGCTGAGAGCAACGATTTGAAAAGGAGATGCATCTTTGGAAAGACATTCTAGCCATGTGTTACATTGTATGTGGCCAAGTCTTCAACCTATGTGGATTTCATGTCCTAGCGAGATGTTGGCTCTCACTTGCTTAGCTAGTCTTGTATTAGCTGGATTGGTTAGTTTTGTCTGGAAACTTTTTACCTTGTAGTCCCTGCTTGGAAGTTGTTTGAGCACAGGGCGCCGTTCCGTTTAGCACCAGGAAAGCAGACAAGCAAACCAGCTAAAATTAATAGCAAGTCTAACAGCAAGCAGAAGTGTCACTATGTCTCTCCCTGCGCAGAGTGTGTGCGATAGGCAAAGGTGTGCATCCTCAGGAATCTCACAACCGTGTTTAAATATGATAAGACTCAAGGTCAATGCCACTACCTTTATCGTTGCTTAATACAGAGAGCATTGCTATAGTTAGAGAAAATATTGGGGGTGGGATTTGGAAACAAAGAGAGTTGAGGAAGAGGGGCATAAAAATGTATTTTTTTTAGCAGA